TTTGATTTATTGATAATGGCCATTCTGACAGGTGTGAGATGATATCTTGTTGTGGTTTTTATTTGCATTTCTCTGATGATTACTGACATTGAGCATCTTTTCATATGTCTCTTGGCCATCTATATGTCCTCTTTGGAGAAATGTCTATGCAGGTCCTTTGCCTATTTTTTTAATTGGGTTGTTTGTGTTTTTGTCACTGAGTTTTGTTCTTTATAAATTTTGGATATTAACCCTTTATCAGATGTTTCAGCAAATATGTTCTCCCAATCTGTGGGTTGTCTTTTTATTTTGTTGATGATTTTCTTTGCTGTGCAAAAACTTTTTAGTTTGATGAAGTGCCATTTGTTTATTTTTGTTGTTGTTGTTGTTTCCCTTGCTGGGGAGATATATCCGATAATCATTGTAATTTTAATTAGTATTTCCCTGCTGGCTAGTGATGTCAAATATCTTTTCATGTGCTTATGTGCCATCTGTATATCCTCTTCTGTGAAATGTCTGAACACATCTTATACCCATTTTCAGATGGATTTTTTATGGTTGAGAATAAAAAACAGTTTGAGAGTGCTTCATATATCCTACATACTAGTAGTCCTTTATTGGACATGCAGTTTGCAAATACTTCTCTAAGTCTGTAGCTTATTTCTTCATTCTCTTAACAGGGTCTTTTTTAAGCAAAACCTTATGTATGTATGCATGTATGTATGTTTATTGTGAGTTAAAATATACATAGCAAAATTCTTATCATTTTAAGTATATAATTCAGTGACATTAAATACCTTCATACAACCATCACCACTATCCATTTCCAGAACTTTTCATCATTCCAAACTACAACTATATTCATTAAATAGTAACTCTCCATCCCCTCCTCCCTCCAGCCCCTGGCAACAGCCATTTGTCTCTATGAATTTGACTACACTAGGTACCTTTCATAAGTGGAAGCATATAGTATGTCTTTTTATGTCTGGCTTATTTCACTCAGCATATCCACAAGGTTCATCCATCATGTAGCATGTGTCAGAATTTCATTCCTTTTTAAGGCTGAATAATATTTCATTGTATATGTACACCACATTTTATTTATACACCTTTTGGCTACCATGAATAATGCCATGAAAATAGATGTGCACAAAATTTTAAAAATTGTGTGCTTAATTTTATTTTTTAATTTCAGTTCTCAATTCTAGTTTACATTAAATATTATTTTGTATTAGTTTCAGGTGTACAACATAGTGATCAGACAGTCATATACCATACCTTACAAAGTGTCTTCCAGATACTCCTAGTACCCAGCTGGCACCATGCATTGTTATTAAATATCACTGAGTATACTCCCTATGCTGTACTTTACAACTCCATGACATAGCATCTTTATTTGCAATAGCCAGAAACTTGAAACAACCCAGGTATGCTATAATCAGTGAATAAACAAATTGGGTGCTCCATGCCATGGAATCTACCAAAGATTAAAAGTGCCAAACTATTGATGAACATAAACCTTAGATGAATCTCCAGGACTTTCTCAGATGAAGGCTCAATGAAAACAAAGTCAATCCCAAAGGTCACATGCTCTATGGTTGCATTTGTATAACATTCTTGAATGATAAAATTATAGAAGTGAAGAAAGGATCAGTGGCTGCCAGAGATTAGAAAGGAGGGTTTGGGGAGGGAAGTAGTGTAGTTATAAAAGACCAACACAAGGGATCTTGGGCTCCCCTTGTAGGAACATGTGTATGTTCTAACCTTGACTGTGCCGGTGACCATACAAATCTACACATGTGGTGAATTGTATAAAACCAAACACACACACACAGAAAGGAGTGCATGTAAAACTGGTGCAATCTGAATGAAGTCAAACAATTGTATCAATGTCAGTATCCTGGCAGTTGATATTGTACTATGATTGTGTACAGATGATACTATTGGGGAGACAGAGTGAAGGATATATAGGATCTCTCTGTACAATTTCTCACATGTGAATTTGCAATTATTTCCAAAATAAAAGGGGGGTATAACCAATGTAAAAATCCTAAAGAATCACCCAAGTAGGAAGCTATAATATTAATACAACTATTCATAGACTTATACTTTCCACCTCTCAGGGAATCCCTTTTAGTTAAAAAAAAATGCAATTTCAACTATCATTAGACAAAGGATATAGTATGATTTTCCCAGAACTTAGAGATGAGGTTGCTGTATGAGAATTAAACTAATAAAAATAAAATAATTAAGGAGAGTAGCTATTAGCCACCTTAAATACTACAGAACAAAATGAAAAAAGCAATGCATGGTGAAAGATAACCAAAGAGTAGACTTTGAGGAAGCTGGGCCTCCAATATGTGTGTATGGTTATGGTATTGATTTGTTTTTTGGAAAACCATCTGAAGAAAGAACTGTTATTATTACAGTCAGGAAGGGTGTCTGCATGCTTCTAGAAAAACAAGAGCCCAAAGAAGAAGCAAGCGTTCAGGTGTCCCGAGCCCTGCTTTGCAGGAAGAGTACTTTATCCTAACATTTATCTTGGCAGTTAGAGTTGGCAGAGCTGCCACTTACGGAACATGTGTGATGTGTGGTGTTACCTGCTTTGTCATTAATCCTCAGCACAACCCTATGAAATAGAAGTTATCTCCCTCATTAAACTAAGGTTTAAGAGATGACATAACTTGGTAGAGATCAGACAGCTAGTGAATGGCAGAGCTGGGTTTGAGTCCTGTTGGTTGCCATACCATTTCCATTTAACCATATTGCCTTTCTTTAAAGGAAATTAGCATATAAAGCTATTGTAGCTATTGTAGCTTGATGCCATAGTCTCAGAATTAGCTTGTTAACTCTCTCCACTCTACTTTCCTGCCTCCAAATTTTGATTTTCTGTATAGATGTTCCTAAAAGGAGAACCAATGTTCAAGAGTATTTGTCCACTTGGCAGTTGTGTTTCTCAGTGTACATAAATAAGTTGGCATTATGATTTATTTGCCAATCTATTTTTAAAATGATTAACAGGCATGAACCCTTCTGGTGCTGATAATTCTGGGCAAATTGAAGCATCCTGCTACTTACAAGGTACCATCACCCTGTGAGGCCTCAGTCTTTGATGTCCTCTCCCTGCCTTCAAATTCCACAATCTTCATGTAGCAAGACAGGAAAATGGTGTTACAGATTTAAGTAACTGGCTCAGGCCCATGGAGTCAGTTATTGGCAAAACTAAGGCTGAGGACTTGGTGTCCTAACTCTTACTTCAGTGTAACTATTTCAGCTGTACTCATCCTGTCCAAGCAGCCTGTTTCAGGGACAGATCTAGAATAATTTATTTACATGCTCAGTCAACATCCCTACTTTCTGTACTCCCTCTGCAACTTAGAAAACTGAGGGAATTATGTTTGTTAGCATAATTGATAGCCTTACTATGAGCCCACAATTTTCTGGACACAAATAAATAAATAGACACCAACTAACCAAATTCTGTATGCTTAGAATATTCATCATTCTTCTACACTATATAAATAGAACAATAATGTACCACTGGTTCGTACACTAGCTTTTATATATGGCATAAACTGTCCCATAAAAAATAGTTATATTCATTAGAGCTCACCTCTGTATTTCTACCACCCACTATAGTGCTTGGCACAAGTGGATGTCAATACTTGTCAATTGGATTGGATTGGATTGGTTTGGATTGGATTGGATTGGATTAAATTGATTGCAAGCATTTCTAATGTCTTTCAATAAATTCTGTCATTAATTTAACACTCCTACCCAGATAGGTGTTTAGACTACAGCACAATCATTCAAGGACACATTTTAGGTCCAGGTGTGTGTCCCGTTGCCTGGAAGATCTACCTACTCAGGTAGGTCAGTTTGGGGAACCAAGACCTCCCTGACACCTTAGGCTACTATGCTAAATGGAGGGACCATGTTCTCTGTCTGTTCTCAATACTTGGATGGTCCAAAGAATGTCAGTATTAGGAAAGTAAATATCAGGGAGATGCTCAGAAATGTGACAGTGTTGGTTCAAACTCAGTAAATAACTTTCTTCAGTTAATTATAAAACCCAAAGCAACAAGTAGCAGTTTCTCCCAGAGGTGCCATTTAACCCCATATCCTTCTGCTTGTTTGATCCCCTGTGGAAGTCACTTAGGGTACCTTATTTTCTTGGAACTGGTGTTTTTTGCCTTAAAGATTGTTGGCATCCAGTGTCTCAAATAGATTTTGTCTGATGGTTTTGAGCAAGGAAGTAAAGTGATAGTTATTTCTTTCTGTTCTATATCAATAATTTTTCACAGATATTCTGAAGCTCCTGTTTTCTACTTTATTTTGGTGGAGAATTTCATTTATATATTTTTGCTTTAAAATATAACATCCAAAATGCCTGGCATCTGTTTTTTCCCATTGTGTTTGTAGGAGCTAATTTAAAGTTACACACAACACGTTTTTCCAGAGTGTTCATTTTAGAGTTTTCTGAGATAGTTATTCAAAACACGTCATGAGAAAAATTCAGATTTGCAAAGCATTTGCCAATTCCTCTTGTGTTGCTAATTTATTTAGTACCCATTTGTTTCTAACATTCTTGCTAGCTAAGCTGCAGACATAGGTACATACTGGATCCATGGATTCAAAAGCCCATAAATGTTAAAGCATTAAAAGTTGGACTTTGCCTTCAGGGCCTAGTCCTAACCTCCTCCTCTAAAACCTCCTCTTCCGAGTCCTAACCCAAACCCTTTTGTACTTTCTTAAATGCTTCAAAGTTTGTATGAGGATGAATGTTGTTATGAGAAGTATCCATCAGTTCTTAACTAAGACTCTGAAATATTTGAGCTAATGCTAGATAACAATCATCCATGTTCCCTGTTCAAGCATTTCCCACATGTATAGGTGGCCATATGATACTGATTTGAACCATGGTTTCATAAAATGCATTCTTTTCCCGTTAAACTTCCTGTCTTGAAAGAGTAAAGGTAAGTTTTTGTGTCAGTTATGAATACCTGTTCATTGTATTTCAGTATAACAGGTATGGATGGGAAGAAATGCAGCGTATGGATGTTTTTACCTCTTGTGTTTACTTTGTTTACTTCAGCTGGATTGTGGATAGTGTGAGTATTCTCTTATTTAATTACTAAGGTCTGAGGTTGCAATGTCTTGGGTTGGCCAAAAAGTCTGTGTAGTTTTTTCTGTAAAATAAAAAAACACATTTTTCATTTTCTCCAATAACTTTATTGATTTGGATATTTTGAGTATGTTGGCTATCTCCTATGTGGTATAACGTTAGTTGTTCTCAGTTAATGTCTCCATTTGATCGCTATCAACTTCAACTGGTCTACCTGACCATGGAGCATCATCCAGAGAGAAATTTCTAGCATAAAACTTCACAAACCACTTTTGACATGTTCCATCAGTCACAGCACCTTCTCCATACACTGCACAAATCTTTTTTAGTGTTTAGTTGTGCTTTTACCTTTCTTGAAATAATAAAGCATAATATGCTGAACATGTTGCATATTTTCTTCCATCTTCAATATTAAAATGGCTACACAAAAATTCACCAATTTTGATGCATTTTTTAAATCTATGCTGATATGACAGCTGTCACCATACAGTCTAACAAAATTGTTTTGAATGAAGTTAAGGCCAACTAAGCGCTACTAGAGCCATCTTATGGGGAGAAAACCAAACAAACTTTTTGGCCAACCCAATATATAAAAATGTGGTTTTGATAGCACATGGTGTATCTATATGAATGTATTTATAAGTACTTTAAAATAATTCAACCTTGCTAAAGTCCCCATTTCTCTTTCCTTTTTCTGTTACTCAAAGTAAATAACAAGAGTGAGTAATAAATTATTCAAAGCATGTAGAAAAGAATACTAGACTTATTTTTGTGTGCCTGTGTTTTTCCAGTAATGAACACTCTATAAACTGGTGATATGGATTCATTTTTTGCAAAATTTGCTAATTCGACACTAACATCTTAAGAATTCCACTGCAGTCTAGTTCATAGCCCAGGGGGGTTTTGTGACAAGGTCTGGTATGTTTATAAAATGGGTTTTGTTACATTGGAAGTCTTGGCTTATCACGAAATGCTCCCACTCTTGCTTATTTCAAGCACTATTCACTTGTAGAACATTAATTTAGTTCCTTGCAGTTAAAAAAAGTGGACTGAGAAATTCCTGAGAAATGGAAAATTTGAATTCAAATTTTAGTTTGCCCAAAGTTGTAAGGTCTTATTTCTTTGTTTTCCAGTTTTCAGATTATAATGATTTCCATTATTTGGGGGGATGTTTTAAAAATTAAAGAAACATTATTAGTAATAACTTTTGAGCTTCAAAGAGCAAGATGATCCACAGGTAGAACATTATAATAAAAGAGCATTTTCCCAGTTAGGACATAAAATGAATATGATTTAATGTGGTTAGTCTAATAAAACTGGGAAACAATGATTCTTGTTTTCTAAAATTTCTTTATTTTGTAAACTTTTATTGTTTTTTCTTCATAGATACTTTATAGCTGTAGAAGATGACAAAGTTTTCCCATTAAATTCAGCTGAAAGGTAAAGTGTGTCTCTGGGTAATTAATTCATTGTTCATCCATAGACCTAACAAAAACATTGCCACTGGTGAGGTTAAACTGTATGCAAAAGAATGTGCTTTAACCTGAGTTTCTTTGTTTTCTGTTATCCAGGAAACCTGGTGTGAAGCATGCACCATATATAAGGTGATTTGATAATTCTCTTCTGATCTGCTGGATCTTAGAAAAAGTTAGGGGTGTGGTCTTACTTTGGGCTACCATAACAACATAGCACAGCCTGGGTGGCTTATAAACAACAGAAATTTATTTCACACGGTCTGGAGGTTAGAAGTCCAAGATCAGGGTACCAGCATGGTCAGGTTCTGATGAGAGCTCTCTTCTGGGTTCCCGACTGCCATCTGCTCATGGTATCCTCACATGGAGGAAAGAGGAAAAGAGGTCCCTAATCCCATTCATCAGGGCTCCATCCTCATAACCTAATTACCTCCAAAAGTACTACCTCCTGATATTATCATATTGAGGGTTAGGATTTCAACATATGAATTTTGAGGGTACACAAACATTCACTGCTTTGAATGGTTATAGATTTTAATATAGTAATAATAAAACATTTCATATATTCCAAGTATTGCAGGTGATGCACCTCCTGCAAGCTGTGTGTTTAGTCAAGTTATGAACATGGCAGCATTCCTAGGTAAGCAGATAATAAAGAATGCTTTATGTGCATTGATACATTTCTGTTATGTTCAGTTCTCCCAAACCCATATTGAAAGCATGGTGGGCTTAGTTGATATCTTGGGATCCTATTGTGGTGAAGCTAGTTTTTTGTTTTAAGGGTCTTTTTTTCTCTTATAACAGGATATAAATCTTGTTATATTTGCCCTGCTTACCTAACATTTTCTCTTCCCTTTACCATCTTTATCATGTCAGTGTACTCTTGACTTTATTTCTTTTGCTGCATAAAATAATATATTTCACATACCATTAAATCCTGCATGAGAATGGAATGTTGTACAATGTGTTTACTGTAAAAAGAATGCCTTTTTTATTTCTTCACTGGCAAAGATAAAGAATGCCTTGGCTCGGTGACAAATATTGATGTGTGTAGATACTGCTTTTTACATCTAAAGGTTATGCTCTCTCCTGTGTCTATCCTATATACAAATCACACTGGCAAATGGAGACATAGGTTAAGAAAAGAAAGAACTTGCATACTCATGTCCAGCCCCAATCTTCCACTTTTTCTTCAGGGCCCAAGACCCTCATTTAATATCCTGGCCCCTTTGTGCTGTGAGTGCTTCGAGGATCAGGTGGTCCTCTGGGGACCATGGGAACCAGCTGTGCTCTCTGTCCTTTTCCAATGGGCCTGATGTACCCCCTCCTCAAGGCCAGGCCTTTCCAGTTTCTTTCAAAGGGTCAACCGTCATCATTAGCATGCTGTGGGGGATAAGCCAATGACAATGAAATATTTCAACAGTGGTTTTCTGGAAATGATCCTTCTGAAAGGTGAGACTTTTTACTCCAAGAGATAAAGGTGATGTTAGTATTGAGGGAGTATTTGGCCTTTATGTCTTCCTAAGAGGTGACCTGTTATTTCATCTATGTATAATTCTCTCCCCCCCAAAAAAATTTCTACTCACTCTTAATATGTTCTTTTTTAATGATTGCTATAGGAAAAGGGAAGACCCATAGACCTAATTGGAAAATCAAGGGAGATGATTGGTCCAACATGCAACACAGGCAAAATCTTAGTTGAGAGGGTTCAAATAGTGAGAAACATGGAGAATGTTCCCTGTGAGGCCCCAGAGGCCCCTCTTGCAGCTGTGAGGTTCAAAGAGAAGTACACTGGGGTCTTCTCTACAGTTAATTAGATTGCTCTCTGCCCAGGCTTCCAAAAGCATATTCCATTTGTGTAAGCAGGAATTGTCTGGAAGGCATGGATTGCTACGCTAGCACTAAGGAGAAGGTTAGATATATCCTGACGCTGGGGTTGCTGAACCTTTAAGGAAAGTTTTCTCTTCATGCCCTTAGCAGGCAGTTTTCATGTCTGAGATATTCCCAAGTTCCGAGAAAAGTAGAATTTTCAGCAGCTGATGCCCATGTGGACACCAGGGCCTGTCCTTGTCACTCAGGCTTTGTCTTCAGTGCCCTCAGCCTTCAAGCTGCCAGGAGCTTTAAACTTGACTTTTTTCTACTCTCGACACCACTCTTCTGAAAAGATCTAGTAAGTTTAGCCACACAAAGGCATACATGACTGCTAAGGAGATATTTGCATTTAATAGAGCACAACACCCCAAGAGTGACTCTTCAGTTGCAGGATCGGGGACCTTTCCTAACCCCTCTGCAATCACACCCCGTGGCAGGCCTGCAGATTGCTACCTATTCATAGGATCATCCCCACAGGGTGCAATGATAACAACAATTAATGACAGTCATTTATATTAAAGGCACAATGCTAAGAGCTTTGCAAACACTACCTCATCTAATCACAGTCCAGAGGACAGCACCCTTATAAAAAGGTTGTCACAAGCTGTCTGTCCTCCAATGGGCTTTAAAGAAACAAATGAACATGTTGGAAGCCATGTATTGTTTTCTTCATATTTTTAAGAAAAATTGATATTTCCCAGTAGTCCTCATTGTATAATCTAAAAAATACCAATTTTCACAGCTCAAGTTTATCTGGTTATAAAGCTTATGAGGAACTAATTACTAAAGCATTCCCAAAAACCGAGCAAGGAAAACAAGTCCCCTCTTCCAGCTGGCACTCGTCATTGTCTAGTCCTTCCCTGCTCCACAAAGAAGCAAAAAGTTTTCACTAGCTTTCCTGCTCTAAAGTATTGCAGTATCCAATGTTTATTCTTTATTATCTTTCATCATTTTTAGTGCCATTTAGTAGATACAAAGTGATTAAGATTAGTGTTTAGTGGGAGTTAACCAGCAATTATTTATTTATCAACTCTAGGAGTGAAAGTCAGTTTACTAATGATTCTTGCTCTGAACTGTGGATGCCTTCGTCTCCCCAGGTTCATCCTGTTCAACCTCAACTATTACTTTAGATGACATACTGACTTTAAAAAACAACCTACTCTGCTTATAAATCTTTGCTTCTTGGCAGATGTGTGGATTATAATTTACAACTTACAAATGAGGTGGTATGACATTGATTAAAATTAGTTGCCTAAGACCTTTTATCTTTTTAACGGACTAATCGAAGATCAACTGCTCAATTATTCTCTTAACAGAATTAGTTACACTCTTTGTCCTGAGTCCACCCACACTTTATGTCTTCTGTGGGGATAAAAGACCTGAGACAAATTTCTTAAAGGGAATATTATTTTCTGCTCTGGAGAGGTTGCAAGGACAAAGCTGATTGCTGAATGATTTCAGTCACCTGAAAGCAGCCCCTCTCCCTCCTTCATCCAAAACACACTGATTGTCATGTTCTACTGCAGCCATAAATAGGAATTATCAGTGCATAAACAACAAAACTAAACAAAACAAAAAAGAATTCGGCCAGGCACCAGTTTAGAACTGCAGTGAAGAGTTGCTATTTCGAGTTGGACTTTAAAAACCAATCAGCCTCAAAGTAAAAATATTTAATAAAGAAAATAAGCAGTTTTTTTACATTTGTGACTTTTTAAATAGACAAATTAAATTGAGGGCATCTGTAGAGCAAAGGACTATTCTAAATACAAAAAAAAAGAAAAAAGAAAACTAAAGGAGGGTGAGTTTTAAAAATCCTAAAACTCTTGATAAAACCTAACATTTTTAATGGAACTAAAAATTTGTTAGCTTGTATAAAAATGGCTTTAAAATTTCCCTACCGCCCAGAAGTCTCTTTCAAGAAGGTATAATTAAACCACTGTTTGGTTGAAAATGGACTTCATAACTGATAGTCTAATTCTGCCTCTATTTAAACCCAACTGTTAATAAAATTGTTAAAGGACCAGGATCCTTATTATTTCTACAACCCTAAAAAGTTAGTTAGAATCTACTTTGAAAGGAAAGTATGCCTAGTCTGAGTAGATTAATAATGTAATTAATAGGTCAAAAGGGCAAAGTGTGGGTTGAGAATGCAGTTCTGAAAATTAGGAGTGTTGTGTTGAATTCCCATCTGCAAGTAGGTTTCTGTTTCCTGCTTAATTTCACTATCTGTTCATGGTAGAATGATTTTTACCATCCCTATTACAAATGGGGAGGCTAGCAATGCTGGAAGCAAGAGACTGACTGATACATGTCTCATTTTTATTGGGGAGATATGGGTAATGTAGAGAACGTCCATCAACTCTCTTCTTTTGGACACAGTTGAACAAACTGACTGGACATGTGGATATCAAGAACAATTGCAGTGTCTGCTTCAGCAGTGGTTTAGCGCTTAGGCCAAAGTTCCAACATGATCCTGTCCTTCCAAATTGCATGACAGCCAGGGAGTTCCCAGAGTAATACTTTTCACTTGCCATTTTTAGAAGAAATGATAGGTGCTTAGTATTTTGTCATTATGCCCTGACTAATGCCCGATTAGTTAGCACGCATGTCCCAGGGCACCCTGTGGTTGGGTTTCTGGATTTAATCTAATGGCTCCTTTATCTGATGATCACTTTGTGTCAGAGTTCTTGTGTTGAATTTCTTCTCTCCCCACTTCCTCCTCTTACTCCCATCCTAAAAAGTTATAAGTTGTACTGATTTTTTCATCCTCTAGGTTAGTTACTTTCATTATTAATATACTTCTAATACATTATAACTCCTAAGTAGGTTTCTTCAACAAGTAGGTTGGAAGCTATTGTCAACTCAAGTATAATTTATTAATTTTATGGTCAATGGTAGGCATTACCTGAAACATAAATATACTAAAAGCTCAATCAGAACAGAACTTTGAGATTTCATAAGTTACGGTTTATTTCTATTTTGTTTCCAAATCCAAATATTAACCAAGTTACATACCACTTTTTGATCAGAGGTACTTGAAATTGAGTGTCAACTCAGTGAGCTTAACTTTGTAGCTTGAAACTATGAAGGTTAGCATACTTGGAAATGCAAATTTTTAATAGGTTTTCTTTATTAATGGCTACTTATAATGGCCTGTGATCAAGGTGAAATTACCTACACATAATTACCTACTTAACTGCTGTATAAATAAGGGTAATTCTTGAATTTCTAATTGTTTTCCCTGCTAAACCTTAATGTCAAAATAAATTGTCTTTGGGAATATTAAGTGCATTTCTTTTATGTAGATATAATTTACATTAATTGTGAGTGTCTTTTTTAAGTATATTTTATTGATTATGCTATTACAGTTGGCCCATATTTTTTCTCCCCTTCATTCCCCTCCCCCTCACACCTCTCCTCCCACAAGCATTACCCCCTCCCTTAGTTCCTGTCCATGGGTCATAAATACAAGTTCTTTGACTTCTCCATTTCCTATACCATTCTTAACTTGTACCTTCCAATTACGCTTCTTATTGCCTGTACTTCCCCCCACCCCATTAGCCCCCATTCCACTCCTGGCTGATAACCCTCCATGTGATCTCAATTTCTGGTTCTGTTCCTATTCTAGTTGTTTGCTTAGTTTGTTTTTGTTTTTTTAGGTTCAGTTGTTGATAGTTGTAAGCGTCATTTTACTGTTTATATCTTCTTCTTTTTCTTAGATAAGTCCCTTTAACATTTCATAAAATAAGGGTTTGGTGATGATGAACTCCTTTAACTTGACCTTATCACTTGACTGGGAAGCACTTTATCTGCCCATTCTTTTTTTAAAGATTTTTATTTATTTTTAGAGAGAGGGGAAGGTAAGGGAAGGTAGGGAGAGAGGGAGAGAAACATCAATGTTTGGTTGCCTCTCCTGCACCCCCTACCGGGTACTAGGCCAGCAACCCAGGCATGTGCCTTGACTGGGAATCAAACTGATGACCCTTTGCTTCCCAGTCCAGTGCTCAACCCACTAAGCCACACCAGTCAGCACCACCATTCTATTCTAAATGAGAGCTTTGCTGGATAGATAATCTTGGATGTAGGTCCTTGCCTTTCATGACTTCAAATACTTCTTTCCAGCCCCTTCTTGCCTGAAAGGTTTCTTTTGAGAAATCAGCTAATGGTCTCATGGGAACTCCTTTGTAGGTAAGTCTTTCCTTTTCTCTTGCTGCTTTTAAGATTCTCTCCTTATCTCTAATCTTGGGTAATGTGATTATGATGTGCCTTGATGTGTGCTTCCTTGAGTCCAACTTCTTGGGGACTCTCTGAGCTTCCTGGACTTCCTGGAAGTCTATTTCCTTTTACAGATTGGGGAAGTTCTCCTTCATTATTTTTTCAAATAAGTTTTCAATTTCATGCTCTTCCTCTTCTCCTTCTGGCACCCCTATGATTCAGATGTTGGGATATTTACAGTTGTCCTGGAGGTTCCTAAGCCTCTCCTCATTTTTCTGGATTCTTGCCCCTTCATTCTGTTCTGGTTGAATGTTTGTTTCTTCCTTCTGCTCCAAACTGTTGATCTGAGTCCCAGTTTCCTTCCTTTTGCTGTTGGTTCCCTGTATGTTTTTCTTTATTTCACTTTGCATTGCCTTCACTTTTTCCTCTATTTTGCAGCCACACTCAACCATTTCTGTGAGCATCCTGATTACCAGTGGTTTAAACTCTGCATCTGATAGGTTAGCTATCTCTTCATCAATTAGTTCTGTTTTTGGATCTTTGATCTGTTCTTTTTTAAAAAGATTTTATTTATTTATTTTTACAGAGGTAAAGGGAAGGAGAAAGGGAGGGAGAGAAACATCAATGTGTGGTTGCCTCTTGAGTGTCCCCCCACTGGGGATGTGGCCCACAACCCAGACATGTGCCCAGACCAGGAATTGAACTGGCAACCCTTTAGTTCACAGGCTGACATTCAATCTCCTTAGCCATACCAGCCAGGGCCATTGCTTTTTTAGAGAGAGAGCAAGAGATAGAGAGAAACAGATAGATAGTGTGAGAGGGAAACATCAATTAGTTGTTTCTTGTACATGCCTGGACTGGGGATCATATGTACCCAGATCAGGAATCGAATCTCCAACCCACTGAGCCACACCAGTCAGGTCTTTCTCTCAGCGTTTTTATATAAATATGAAAATATCCCTGCACTAAGTAGTTAATGAAAGGGGATTCTTAGATTAGTGGTTTGAGTCTGGGCCATCCTCAAAGTTACTGTTAGAAGTCAGATATGAAATCTGAGTTACTTCATTCTCTCTTCCGGTACTCCCATGACAATTTGCCTCAAAAGACAGAATGGTCTTTTAAAATAAGTAATTAATGTCATTTGGAAAAGTTGGGCTTTCTTAATATAGTCAGTGTGATCTTTGATATGTGTCTAGTCACCCAATTTGCTATGTTAAAAATCCATATTTCATAATTTGGCTACTGTAGCTGCTCTCCTTTGACAATGAACACCTCCAGGTGGAATCAGAGGAACACAGGAGAAAATCAACAATTAAAGGGATTTGTACATTTGACTCTATCTTCCTTCCTATCCCCAGGAGTGAGTTCTGGCACAGGGGCCAGTGTGTGTGTGTACATAGGGAACCTCATCTCTTTCCCCACGTTTTCCTGTCTATTCTAACACTGTTCCAAACTAAAGGATGATTGAGTCGGTGGATTTTCGTGCCACAGGCTGTCTTTATCCCCATCTTACTTGTGTGTCAAGCTTCTGCCGGGCTTTCTCCCCTAAGACAGTCTGTCCTGTGCTGACCTCATTTTTGAAAACTATGAGAACACTATTAGGAGTTCTATCATCCTTGCGTCACCCAAATAACATAGAGCACTGTTGCTTCAACTCCTCTCTGTTTCCCTCAGGTTAGGTATAATAAAACACTGAAATAATTATAAGTCATGCAGGAAAAATTTCTTTTAAAAATTGTCATTTCGCACCAGTGGTTTGAGGGTCTCAGTGAAAGCCACCGTGGCAGTTTACAGAGGGCACGAGGTTGACCGCAGTGGCCATGGGACTGCTTATACTTGAGAAGGACCACCATGCACCCAAGGCAGTAGTCCAGGTCAAACACAGGAGGACAGCCTCTCTTGAGCAACCAAGAGTGTCAGCTGTACCCAAGGTGATCCCAGTAGCAGCAAGTACCTGTAGTAGATTTCCAGGTGGATCTGAGGCAGGCTTTCCTAGCTCATACACCCAGAGGTGGTTAAAACAGCCTTGGGACATCCCAAGGAGCTGATTCCAAACAAACAAACAAACAAACAAACAAACAAAAGAAAAGAAAAACCGGCTCCACCTACAGTTTGAAGCTTCTGCCCCAGCTTGCATTGTTTGCAGCAGAACCTGCATCATACCTTTATCTGTAGCCTCCCCTTAGGTCTTAAGGATCCTGAAACTACTGTGGACATTGGATTTGGTGGAACAGTAATCATGACTGTGTGAAAGAGCAGCAAGATGCTGCAGCACATCAACTATAGGATGAGGTGCATCCTTCAAGCCAGCCAGATCTTTGTCAGTACCTTTAAGCCTTTTGACTAGAACATGAACTTGATCCTCTGTGATTGTGATGAGTTCAGGAAAATTAAACCAAAGAATGTGAAGCAGCCAGAGCATGGAGAGAAGCGGGTCTTGGGTCTGGTGCTGCTGAATGAGGAGAACTTGGTTTCCATGACTGTGCAAGTAGACTGAGCGGGGACCTCCCCCCAAAGATACTGGCATTGCTTGCGTACCATTGGCGGGAGCTGCAGGAGGCCTTGGGGTTGGCGGGGCTGCGGACAGGGGAGTCCCAGTTGGTGGGCCCGGTCTGAGAGGTAAGGGTCCCTCCCAGAAGGCAATGACTCCACAGGGATGAGGTACTGTCACAGCTGCCACTGTGGCAGCCATTGCCAGCATTGCTAAAGCCCCAACTCAGTACCAATCAGGTTGGGGGAGCCCCCACACCTGTGAGCCAGGCAGCCCCACCTCCAGGCATATGGCTCCTCCACCTGGTATGAGAACACCCATGGGACCACCAACTGGGCTTACCCCTGCTCAGACAACACCAATAGGCATGCCCCCTCCAGTAATGAGACCCTCTTCCACCAGAAATCAGAAGCCCACCTCCCCCAGGAATGCATCCACCAAAACCCTAGGATTCTGTTGGTCCTTAGTCATGCTTTGCCTATACTGTATCATGTGAAACTGTGTAGAGTGTCTGTGAGCTTCTGTCCCCTCTTTGCAGCATTAATATTCACTAATAAATGCATAGAGCAATTAAACTGTGAAAAATATCATAATAATTGTCATTTCAGAGATTTAAAAACATACTGTGGTGAAAAGTTCAATTTTGCACATTGTGGTTTTAGAACACTTCCTCATAGTCTGAGTATATGATTTCAGTTTTTCAATTTTAACACATTGTTTTATCCCCAGCTCTTGTGGTAGCTGTTCTGCGCTTCATACAACTGAAACCAAAGGTTTTAAATCCGTGGCTGAATATTAGTGGATTGGTGGCATTGTGTCTGGCTTCCTTTGGAATGACCTTACTTGGTAATTTTCAGGTACTTCATTTGGCCTTTTTCACCTCTGTCTCACACTTCCTCTATATGATTATAGCCACCGAGGGGCAGTCACTATATGGCCCATATCATTCTTCATGAATCTTTAAAAACATTGCTAATAATGGTTCCTAATATGCACAGGTTCTACAGCAGTCAGCCCTTATGGTCTCTTGGCCTGCCCTACCTAAGTGTGCAGTGTACACCTGAGAGTGCTCACTGTGCATTGGAGATACAGCACAGCTACTGGGAAACGCAGCTACAAAAATAGTTGTATATTTTCTACAAAGGATTTCGAAGTGCTTTATACTTTTATTTTTATAACAAATTGTATCCAGTGTACCTTTCTAGAAAACTAATAGGATTAGCAAACTCAATTTGAAAACCCAGAACTTCTCCAGAACACTATGACCTAAATCATCTTCCCAGAAACTTAGAAGCCCAAGGTGACAACATTAAAGAATAATTTCCCTCGCCAATATCATCACCCAACTCCTGTCCAAATGACATCATTTGTAGAACAGACAAGGAGACCCCTGCAGTTACAGCAGTTGTCTGATTTCCCTGCCTCCATTCCCAGCATCCTCCAGCCTATGCTGCACACTGCTCCTAGAACTTTCCCTCTTGTAATCAAGCACCTGATCCTGGATACCCCTCTCCCTTCTATTGAATGAAGTCCAAATGGCATAGACTTCCAAGAAAATCTGGTAGTGGATTCTCAGAGTGTCTCTTGTCCTAACCCTCAGTCCTGATCACTCATTAAACCAGGGCTGTTTGGCAGAGAGGCAATCCCACCAATTCCTCTAACTCTTCTAGGTCTCATCCCATAACAAGCTCGACTGCAAGAAAGCTGCATTCATAGAACGTGTTGACTAGGATAATGAATTACCAAGAGAATTTTTGAGTGTTTATTCTGTTAAACTCAAAAATGTAGAACACAGAAATTTTTATGGAGATTATGGTGGGAGTCTGCCCCTCACATGCTGCAGGTGCCAGCCTGTTGTAAAGTGCTCAGTAACTCTCATGTCTGTCAACCAGAATTTGCATAAAAGTTAGTAAATAGACATTTTGCTCTTTACTAAGGTCCTAGGAGAAACCCACAGATCAGGTTGTTTTAGTGAACCACAAATAGGCAAAACCATGAATGATGACATATGAAAACCACTTTCTGTATTATCTACAGAGCATACACAGGAAACCACAAACTAGTTGCCTGTGGAGAAACTAGGTAGCTAATGTATGGACAGGATGGGAAACAGACTTTTTTTTAACTGAGTATAGTCTTTTTATTTTTTTAAGTTCTGGTCCAGTATTTCCAAATTTCTCTCCAGGAAGCAGCATTTTACAGTGCCAGTAGTCTATTTTTCCACGACATATTTTAAAAATGCATTTTTGACACATGAAAGTGGCTGACTTGTTAAAATCTTTTTGCTTAGTCGTCCTGGCCTGTGAGCATCTCCTCCTGGGTGCACAGCCTGTCTGGGCCTCTGACCGCGTGAGATATCTTGATCGCTACATCTATGGAAGCTCAGTTCTACTCCGTGTTTTTCTCATCTTACTGGTTTTTTAAATCCTCATCATTCTTTACTGTGTATACATTTCAAATTTTTATATAATTGCATCTGCCCACTTGACATTTGCCCTGTCGCTTCAATAAACAAACAATAACCTCTCCCAGAAAAAGGATTTTCTTTTCCCCACCCCTAATGCCCTGCGCTTTCTGTCTGGCCTTGTCCAAAATTACTCTGGTTCTCATGAACACTCCATTGTCCACAATCCCCACGTTACGATTCCCTTAGGTCTTCTCTCAACAGCCTCAGCTAAACACGTCGGCCTCAGTTCCAGCGCTGTGAAGGCCTGTGCAAAGGACCAGGGTGGTGACTCACCTCCAGCTAGATCCTTCCCTTCGGTTTCTACTCCTTCACCTTCCCAGCCCCACTACCAACTTCTTAGGTTTCCCAACTGTTTTGTCTCCCAATCCCTTACTGGCCTCCAGGGTTAGGCTGTTTTCCCCAGCAGCGATGGCCTACCGAAGGACACTTTCCTTCACCCCTTAGTTCAGCCAAATGAGAGCCAAAATTGCTCAACAGGAACTCTGTTGGAAAACTAAGAGGAAACTAAAAATAGACTCCAGGAAATGTAAAGATATCAATACGGAAAAGATTTTACAACCTACATAGGTCTTGGCTTAGAGGTGGTGGGGCTCCTGGGGGTGCCCCTTCTCTCACGGGGAGACAGACTTTTCAGTCTATACTTTTTTTAAGTTTGAACCATCTAAATATATTATCTGTTTGAAAAAATTAGGTTAAAATAATAAATTAATAGTTTAGAAAACCAGTTTTCTAGAAGTAAAATTTTACTTGAAGCATTACTTAAAATGAATTTTGAAAATATGTCTTTTGAACTGTGAGAGAAGAAAGTGGCTTCTTCCAAAGAAGAGGGGGAAATTCTTTATAACAAAAAGAAAAAAGAAAAAATGTAAAAAGAGCCCTGGCTGGTATGGCTCAGTGGATTGAGCACCAGCCTGCAAACTGACAGGTCGCTCATTCAATTCCCAGTCAGGGCACATACTTGGGCTGTGGGCCAGGTCCCCAGTTGGGGACCTGTGAGAGACAACTGATTGATGTTTCTACCACACATCCATGTGTCTTTCCCTCTCTCCCTCCCTTCCCCTCTCTCTGAAAATAAATAAGTAAAGTCTTTAAAAAGAAACTTATATTTTAAAAAATATATAAAAGGAAAGTAATATGGATTTGATATGAACATTATTCACAGCAATGTCAAACAATAAAACATCTGAAGGCAATGGCAATCAAAAAAATGTTTTCACCATGTTTTAAAAGCCACCTCTTCAAAATAGATTTTATTTTCCTAAATGTGTATTTTTAAATGTATGTAATTAGTAAAGGTGTTTTAAGTGATAGATAAATTTTTTAAATTAGTGGGTAATGATTTGAGGATTTACATCTCAAATGCCCAATTGAAATAACCCAAATGGGTCTCCTTTAACTCCTTAACTCTGTAAACTCTGTAATCAGGGATCTTCAAACACTGTTGTCCTTTAATGGGTCTAGAGATACTGCAAGAGCTCATAGGTGGCAGTTTTATTAAAATAAGAAAACAAAACAAAATCACATTAACAGTGGATTGGTCATATTCTATGGACAGCTCAGTTTTGTAGGAATAATAAACAGCCCAAGTGTTATTAGTTGCCTGTGCCAATGAAATATTGACCTGTTTAGAATTGGTCTTTGTCAATAGGTAAATACACAACCAGATCCCAGGTCTCATTTCCTAGTCTGGAAAACAAAGTTTGGGATGTATGTTTGTAGAAACTTTGACATTACTCTTTTTTGTGTGTGTAATTTTCCTGTTTTTTTTTTTATTTTACTTTTCCACAAAGCTTTTCTAGAAAAGAAATTCAAGGAATAGATTATCACTGCCTTTTACAGTTTTTCTAAACAAATGTTTTGAAGTTTGGGTGTACTATTTATTTCCCTTCTTCCGTCAGAATTCAGACCAACTGATAACTGACACAAGGAGTCATTGTGGAGATAAAGGCCCCTAATCTTTCTAAAATTCATCATTTCATTATTGAGATGACATTTTGCCCATTTTTTTTCTCCCTCACATATTCCGTGGGCTTTTATGTCTTTTCTAAATGGGCCCCCACACGTCATTATCTGTTCATCCCTTAGCTCACCAACGATGAAGAAATCCATAATGTTGGAACCTCCTTGACCTTTGGGTTTGGTACATTGACATGCTGGATCCAGGCTGCACTGACTCTGAAAGTCAACATCAAGAATGAAGGACGGAAAGTTGGAATTCCACGAGTTATTCTCTCAGCATCTGTCACTCTCTGTGTGGTCCTCTGTATCCTTTGAATGTGAAAAGGTTCTTTGCCAATAAGATTAAAATAAATGTAACTTGTCTATGTAGGAAATGAGAAAATTGTGATTCCAGATTGATTAGGATATAGACAGATCACTTCAGAGTCTTCGATAAAATGGAAAAGTAAATGAATATAAAAACAAAAACTCTCAGACTATTTTTCATGCCAAAGTGGAGAACTAAAAATAAAACAAGCTCTGCCTTCCCAAAGATTGTTTCAATCTGTAGAAATAGTGTCATACATTCTCCTAATTACTAATGATATAAAAGTGTCCCTTTATGAAAAACATAGAGTGCATAACCAAGAGAATTGTCATTTCTCCCCTCCATCTTAAAAAGATCATTTGTGACTTTATTAATAGCCCCATTATTTAATTTCTTAACACTAATATGTATTTCAAGGGACAAATACATTTGTATCTTTCAGGAAAATAAGCTTTTATGAAAAACAAATTCAATAATTAGATTACCAAGAAAAATATCAGGATTTCACTCATATGTGGAATCTAATAAACAAACTGAACTAACAAGCAAAACAAAGGACTCATGGGCATGGACAACAGTGTAGTGACTGTGGGAGGAGGGGGTATAAGGGAACTAAATGGTAATGGGAAAAATACAATAAAGATTAACTTTTAAAAAGAAAAACATTAGATTGCCACTGAATGTATAGTTGTGCTAAAAAACATTTTTGAGGTTTTAAGGTGCTACTTATTTCCCTTCCTCCCTTAGAGTTTAAACCAATGGAGAACAGATAGGAGCCAGATGGAAATGAAGAAATCAGCCTTTACTCCTAGTAAATCTGGAAGGGATAAGGAAGCAGGCCTCCTATCTCACACCCTGGAATTCAACTTATCCACCCAGTAACAAGTAGAGAAACCAGGGAAAGGAAGAGGAGAGTGCTTCACTCAACCTCAACAGATCCCTGAGAGAGAGGTCAGTCTAGGATAGAGCACAGTGACTCCAGCTATTGGTGGCATGGCCCATTAGAAGCTGGCCGATTTCAATCCAACCAGTCAGATTGCCCACTCATTCTGCGGGGCGGAGTGATCATAAATGTTCACTTCCGCAAGACCCCTAAGGAAACCAGTGAAGGATCAGGGTTCCCAATTAGTAGACTTATTGGTAACACAATTACACATCTTTAGTCATTTAATAGCCAATATTTATTAGACACTTATATTGTTTTGTGTGTTATCCTAAACACTTTAGATGTATCACTTCACAGGTAAGATCAGTGAAGAACCAAGGTTACTTTACCCAAGATGACACACAGTATGTAGTGTTCTTCATTTAATGTCAGGCCCAGTTCTTGCACTCTTAACCAAGTCATGATCTTACCTTAGATAATGTGGCTTTAAAATGTAAAGATATTTAGCACTTAATGATGTTCTCTAGTTAGTGGAGTCTTGTTTCTTTCTTCACAAATTGCCATTAAGTCACTTACTGGTTTGTTTTGTTTTGGGGTTTTTGTTTTTGTTTTTGTTTTTTTATGAAGTTCTATAGTGGCATTAGAGAGCATTTAAAGACTTGAAAATCAAGCCAAAAAACTTTATTGCTAGCAACCTGATAAAATATTTTGAGTGAAAAGGTCAGAACTCTGCCAATGTGAGATTTTAAGATTTATCCCTTCCTCATTAACTTAATAATATTTGCTTTGGCAATATTTTGAACCCTCAGAAGAGTATGTACAGACTTTAAATTATTCTGAGTTTTGAGTTTACACCAAGCAATTTTAATCCGCATTATCCCCAAACACTTGAGCCATTTCTTTGTTCCCAGGTGAATGGATCCAGGTCTAATCTGTACAGCAAAGTTGAGCTGAAGTAGTTTCACATATTCTGTGAAAATTTCCCAAGATCTTACGTCTAAGTTCTGAAGACAGAACTAATTCTAAGGGACATTTTTTATTTTACTAAATAAATGTATTTAGTCCTTGCTCTCCCATCCTTTCACTAAAGCATGCTATGAATCTTTCTCAACACACACTCCCTAAATATTCATGCATAGGAGTCTTACCTGTTTGGTTTTTTAACTGTGTATTTTCATTTAGGCACAAGTGTAAGTATGACACTAGGAGTGAAACTAACCTATGCAGTACTGTCTGAAGGACTAGTGAAAACTAGACAGAAGAGGTGGAGGGGCCACTCAGACACTGTTGGTGGTGCTGCAGGGACAAAGGCAGCTTATATGGAGGTGGTGAGCGCTTTCATATGTTCAAAATGGTTTCTGCAGATAGAGTGGTGACTGTGAATCTATAGTCATTTGCAGTGATTTTTAAAAAGATAACTTTATTTTTCTGGCTGACTACTTACTTTGGAATTGTGACTCTTGCTAATCTCACAGTTTATTAGGTGGCCATGTAGTGGTTGAATGCAAGGCCTGGGAGTCAGAGTGCTTGTGTTGGAATCCCAGATCCACCAGTTTACACCGGTGAGACCTCAAGCAAGTTATTTAATCATTTGGCCTCGGTTTCCCTATTTTTAAATGAACTGATGATGATAATATGACTGTCATGAGGATTAAGTTAGATTTTCCGTGAAAGCACCTAGAATCATGTTTGGCACAAAGTAAGAGCTTGATAACGTTATCAAGTATTATTCATGTAGATGTTCATGTTCGGCAACCTCTGTCAAACAAATTCTTGTTAGTGAGGGGCAGAGCCAGACTTTTCATGTGACTGATGGGGATACTTTCCTTGACTGCTCCTCCCCAGACTTCATCCTCATGGCCCAAGGCATCCATATGTATGCAGCCAGGGTCCAGTGGGGCCTGGTCATGTGCTTCCTGTCTTATTTTGGCACCTTTGCTGTGGAGTTCCGGCATTACCGTTACGAGATTATTTGTTCTGAGTACCAGGAGAATTTCCTAAGCTTCTCAGAAAACCTGTCTGAAGCTTCTGAATATCAAACTGACCAGGTGTAACCTATCAGCTTTTCCTTGCTGGTGAGGTGGGTGTGACAGTGGGGGAGGAGCCAGGAGGACACACCCACTGGACTTGACACATAACCTCATGACACATTTTTTACACACACACACACACACATACACATTTGTGGCCACATTTGCCAAATGAGCTTTTCAGGGCGAGTTATTTCTTTAATTAAAAAAGCACAAGCCCTCATGTGTCTAAATACACGCTGTTACACTGAAATATATGCACGACAGAGCGAAAAGCTTGTGCATGACCACCTCTCTGCTCCCACTCTACCAGTATTCCCCTGCTCTTCTCATCCTCTTCACATATGTCAGACATTGCAATCACCCTACCGTGGGGTAGAGCAGGCAAATGTACCATGGGGATAATGCTAACTCCCAAAGTTGCCTTCAGACCCAGAGGGCTTGGAACCAGCTCATGAGGAAGTTCTGATAGGCACTAATACTCTTGAATGTATAGGTATCATCTATCTGTATAGAAATGTGACCCTGCATAACCTGTGAAAAGACATGGGATCAAGGATAGAACTTTCCCTCGAAAATGCCATCATTGTTCAGTGGTTGGCCGTGAGGATTCAGTGAAAGAAGAACATGCTACACACTGTGAGAGTGAAGCCCACCACCCTTCACTGTGACTGGGAAATGTCTCCAAATGTGAATAGCTGTGGTCTGCTAGGCATGGAAGAAGATGGGGCAGTGAGGGTGTGGTTTCATTGTTGCTTTTATAGTATGCTATGTACAGTTTTTGTTTTATATTTTATAGCTTGCCTTCTGTTTCAAAAGTAACTACCAAGGGTCTTTCGAGGCTTTATGGACACAGAGGTAGGCCAAATGCAATAGATGAGCTTGTTTTTGGTTCAATCATGATAAAAGAAAAAGAAAAAAGGTGACCTGCAGGCTTAATTTGCTGCTTTTATGTTTGAAGCTAAGGAAATGTTCACAGGGCAGCACAAAGAAACGTGTGGAAGTAATAAAAAGAGCTCGTGCTGGACATTTATTAAAGATAGTTTTCGAGCATCTTTTTGCAAGTCCAAGTCAGGGGAGAGTTTCTTAATATGTGTCTATAGCTCAGAGTAGTATTGGGGTGGGCAGGGTTAAGGGCTTTTCATATTCAAAATTTGGAGAAGCCAACGATAAGATTACCATCCCCCAAAAACAAATTGGCACAGCTGTCACCTGCTGCCTCTCACGTAGTACCACTTGCTGAGCACCTAGAACTCAAACTGCAGGCCAGGGCTTTGAGGCTGTGCTTCATAGAGAAGAGCAGAATTCTAAATTCAACATGTTTTGGAGCAGGCCATGTTGACAGACCCTCTATGAGTGTACTTTGCTTCAAGAATCCCCAAATTTACTTTATAGGAGCTGGGGGTTTCATGGAATGTAATGTGAAAAACATTGTTTTTTAATTCAACCCAAAGTCAGCTTCTTGAGGAGTGGGGGATGTCAATGACTTTTCATCTCTGTACCTCCACTTCCTACACAGTGCCTGGCACATAATAGGTGCTCAACAAACATCTTTTGAATGGAATTATTGGTAATTTAAGAGTAGGAAAAAGGAGTACCAGAGAAAGAGCCAAAGTCAAGAGAGAATGGAAAAATGATTGTTTCAAGGAAGACGCATGAATGGAAGAAATCATGAATGAGGGTCAGATGGGGGAGTGAAAATACTTATAAGTAAATTTGTGAGGAAAATAATCAAGCAGAGAGTATTCTATTAAAAAGGTATCTTACTGTAAATAGTCCAAGGTGACATTTATTATTTTGGAATACTGCTTTTGGGTTTTTCTCATTTTTATATTTTAAAATTTTTATCAGAGAACAAAGATTTATGAAGTTCTCTGTTACTCTATACAATCCAAATTAAACAGCTTTTGGTGATGCACTGTACACTTTCTTAAGAGTTTATCTTATAATAGCGCATTTTAGCAGAATCAAGCAATGACTGGCATTATTCATTGGGATCTGACCACTAAATAAAAATTTTTTATGCAGAATTGTGATTTGTTTTTTACACTAACATCTCTAATATTGAAGCACATGTAAACTCAACAAGACAATATGTTGAAAATGAACTTCAGTGTTATGTTGGTAACCTATTTCTAGGGTGTTTTCCACCAGCAACAACCAATTCTCCAACTCTCTAGACACCAGTTGGCTGTCCTACAACAGTTCACTTCAGTTCTGACACTAACTACCCAGGGTTATTATTGTCGGACCTCACAGCTTTAAGGGAGTCCCACACTTCAGATGCCTGCTACAAGTGTTAGGTCCCAGGTTACCCACACATCTGTCTAACTTGGCTATAAAATTGGGGAGTTCCCACCACTCCCTTCACTTTATTTGCTAGAATGGCTTACAGAACTAAAGGAAACACTTTACTTCCGTTCACCTGTGTATTATAAAGGATATAACTTGAGAAGAACCAAATGGAAGAGATGCATAGAGCATGGAAGGGGAAGGAGGGATGCAGGAACATGCCATCTTCCTAGCGTTTCAGTGTGTTCAGCAACCCAGAAGCTCTCCAGATCTCACTGTCCAAGAGTTTATAGATCTCAGTCTCCAACACCCTCCCAGACCCCCTTCCTGCGGGGCTGGTCAGGAGGTCTAATCACTTGGCTTTACTGTTGACCAGCTCCATCCTAGGGCTATCAAGGAGCCCCACCCCAAGTGACCATATTAGCATAAACTCAGGGGCTCATTATGAATAACAAAATACAGTGCTATCAGGAAATTCCAAGAGTCTTAGCCGCTCTGTAGCAGGAATGGAAGACAAAGACCAAATATATTTTTTAACTATACCATACATATAAACAAAGAACAAGATTACAGAACCACCAGGGAGTTAAGAGCCACAGCTGTCTTCTAAGAGGCCAAGACCAGGGGATCTGCATTTGGAATGAGCAACCCCGGAGGACCTAATGCAGGTGGCCCAGAGAACCAAGTCTGAAATACACTATTTTTAATGTTAACATTTTAAAGCTTCGATCATTTTTCATTTAAGGGAGAACTGACAGTGAGGTAAAGTTTTATTATCTGTGTTATTTATTCAATTTTCTTTGCCCTGGTATGGGAAAATAAAACCTTTGTATCCTGAAATGTGTAGTCTATTGGAGCTGGAACACCACTGTTAACTTAATTTTTCTCCTTAGGCATTGTGTCAGGATAGATTAGGTTTTGCCATCCCAAGGTATCTATCCAGGGTTTGCCAGGGAATGCTGCTCATTGCTATGACTCAGACCCTGGCTGACAGAGGCTTCATCTCAAAACATGTTTCCATAATCACTGACAGCCAGAAAGATGTGGCAGGCTGCTCACTGGTTCTTACAGTTTCTGCTGGGAAATGACATCACTTAGCTTACATTTCATTGGCTAGGGCAGATCACATGCCACATCTGAGTGTGGTAGTGCTACCATCTGCACGGAATGGGAGAAACATTTGTGAACCACAGGCTTCACAGGAAGTTTTTCAGACTCCTTTGGTCATTGTCATTTCTGCATAATGGGAGTTCCAAAGAATCAGTGAAGAGCCCATCATCAAACGGAAACTGAGAAAAGTAGCTATCTACGGGACAGAGCACTAAATTACAACTATGAAGAGACACACAAATAGTAATTAAAGAAATGTAATTCCGCTGAGCCTAAGGACTCTTTGGTCGCATCTAAAAATGTGTTCTTTTCCCCAAGGTAGTGGGAACCAACAGTTTGGGGAAAGATAAGAGTTCCACATATGAAATAAGTTTATTCTAACAATCCTCAGTGCCATATGTGTTCAGATTTCCTATTAACCTTCCTCAAAGTTAGGGTTCCAAGAAACAGCAAATATCCAGATTTGAAGTCCAAAGGACAGACTGTGGGTGAGAAAAGGCTAGGTCCCTCGCTGGAAAAAGGAAGATCTTTTTATCAGCATAAAATGTGCTTTGGTTTCGTCATCTTTAAAAAAGAAAAAGTCCATATTTGCTGTCTCCCATCCCTGTCTCCCAATTCTCTCTTGACCCCACTCCAATCGTGCTCTTGCTCCCACAACTTCTCTGGAGCTGCTTTGCTCAAGTTCTCCAAAGATCTTGTAACATTATATCCAGCCGTTAGTTCTTTTAGTACCTCATCTATATCCATAAGGAACACTTCGTAATTCAATCACCCCCTCCCCACTACCCTGCTTAAAACATTTTTTTTACTTGGCTTCCAGACTATCATGCCCTCTTAATTTGCCTCCTGTTTCACTGTCCACTCCTCAGTCTCCTTTGCTGGGCCGTCTCTCTGACATTCTAATATTGGAGTGTCGATGACTCAGTCCTTGGAGCTCTTCCTTCCTGTTTACACTTACTCTCTTCGTGGCCTCATGCAGTCTCCTAGTTTTAAATATTGCCATATGCTGACCTCTCAACATGTCCAGCTCAGACTTCTTTCCTAAATGCCAGACCTGTGCATTCAACTACTTTTGTGACATCTCCACTTAATGCGCGTGTGAGGTTTAACACCTCCTGATCATACTCCTTTAAAGTCAGTCTTCCCATGTAAGTTAAGGACAACTCATCTCTATTAGATGCATAGACTAAAGCCTTGAAATGATCCTTATCTCTTTTTTTTCTTTCTCTCATACCCCACATTTGGTCAGCAAATGTGATTTGCTCTATTTTCAAATTATACTAGAATTTGTCTACTGCTACCACCCGCTCCAAGCCACTTCCCTCTCTCCTGGACTTTTACAATAGCCTACAAATACTGATCCACTTCCATTATTTGTGCCCTTTGGTTTCCTCAACACAACAGTCAAAATGATCTTGTTAAAAGCTAAGTTAAATCGCCATCATGCCTCTGTTAAAACCCTCCAATGGCTACTCTTGTACCCAGACTAAAAACCCCAGTCACTGAAACAGCCTGAGAAGCCCAACCAGATGTGCCTCTCCATCGCTTGTCTCTGCGTTCCAGCCCCTCTGCTTCCTTGTCTTCCTCCAACAGCCAGGCGTACTCTAGCCTCAGGACCTTTGTACTTGCTGAAACCTCTGGCCTGGACCATCTTCACCCAGACATTTTAATTGTCACTTTCACCTATGCAGATGTTACTTTCTCACAGAGGTGTCACTGACCTCTAAAATTTAGCCCCCTCAAACCCACCGTAGTATATTATTCCAGTACTTTACTGGAACAGCTCTCTCTTATCCGCTTTATTTTGCTCTATAGCATTTTTAAAACATGGTTCTGTGATTAGTTAAAATTCTAACATGCATAACAGTCTAACACATTTTACTTTACTTACATTATCTCCTTGCCATCCCTAAGATGTACACTCCGTGAGGGAGGGGGTTTTTGTTGGCTGTGTGCCTGGCATGGAGAGCAGTGCCTGACACGTAGTTAAGTGTTTAATTTTTTAAATAAATGAATAACAAGTAGGTGACCCCCCTTTTTTAAAAGATCTGGTCTCCTAAGTATGAGCTGTTCAAAAGCATTTAGGAAACAATGGTAATATTAGATTTCAGATGATGCAATTGTGCTTCAGCTCTCGCAGCAAGCAGCTTTCTGTGATTTAAGGAGTAAGTTCTAGATTATAAAGTCAGTGACTTCTCATGGCGTCTGCAGCAACCATTACACAGTAAGTACCCAAGTTTTAACTAGGACCTGAAGTAACCCTTATGCAAACTGTGTCAGTGCCTGATTTGCTCCAATGAAGCTTCAATAATAAAACAGTGGGGATAACTCGGTCCTTATACAAGGAAAACCACATGTATTTCATGTTTTTAGAAAGCTGAACTGATCATGTAGCTTATACTCAGATTTTTAAATCTAACTCATCAAAAACTCTCCCTATAGTAAATGCTGTTCGGGTAAGGGCAAAGAAAAGATTGTAACCTGTTGAGTGAATATTTCTGTAGAAAGCAGAACTAGGGGATTTATTCAACAGTCAATAGTAGGATAACATCTAATACCTGTAGATTTTTGTAAACCAAATTTAGATTTGTAACCAGGTAGAGTTAAGAGGAGATGGAGGAAAGGGCTGTGACTAAACACAGAACAGTCGATTCAGGGACTTGAAGTGCTCCAGGGACTATCCAGTGATATGCTGTTTGCATTGCCCTAGTAGGAGAGAGATAGCTTTCCCAAAATAAGGTGGACTTCTACATCTTATCTATAAACATTATCATGATTTGCCCTTAGAAAGCTTTCAGTATACCCTTTTCTAGTATAAAATCTGAAAACACTACGCCCATTACTGGTAGTCTTTTTCTATTCCATTGCCTTTTGTTCTGTAGGTAACAATAAATTCCAGAAGTCTCAAACACAGGCTGTTAGGAATGGGAAGGAAATAACGGATTTGTGAGGCTCTACAAGAAAGGCAAGGGGTATCAGTTGTTGCCTATATAAGGAAGGTGCAGTTGTGGGGAGGAATCCGACACTGAGGCTTCAGGACTAGAAGACTGGAAAAATGGGTACATTTGCAAAATCCAGAAAAACAGATATCATTGTTTGCAGGGACAGAGGAATAATGAGACAATCTTGTTGGCTCCAAACTACAAACTCCAGCACAGGCTGTTTAAAAGCCTAGCTCTGCTGAAAGGGTTAAAAACTCAATGCACTGCTTGGTAGCATTTGATACACTCAGTGACTGTTCTGGTTACTGAGGTGCCCTAACAAATTACCACAAAATATAGTGGCCTAAAACTATTATGTTCACAGATTCTATGGGTCAAGAATTCAAGCAGGGCACAGCAGGGATAGATTATTTCTGCTCCTTGATGTCTGAGATCTCAGCTACAAGATTTGAGGGCTAGAAGCTGGAAGCAGCTGATGGCAAGTGTATTCATATGTCTGGGGACTGAGGCTGGTGGTCAGTTTGGGGCCTTGGTTCCTCTTCACATAGGCCTCCTCACCTGGGCTAATCTGTACTCCTTCACAGCATGATAGATGGCTTCCTCAGAACCAGTGTCCAATCCCCAGCTCCTGAAAGAAGGTAGAGGTTATATCCTTTTCACAACCTAGCCTGGAAAACCACAAAGCATCACCTCTGCTGCCCTCTTCTGGTTGGAGCAGTCAAATTCCGTACCCAGAACCTCAAAATAAGACTATTTGGAAATGGAATAATCGCAGATGTATTAGTTAAGATGAGGCCATACAGGAGTGGACTAGGCCTCTAATCCAATACTACTGGTGTACTTCTAAGAAGACAGTCAGGTGCAGACAGAGATACACAGGGGAAATGCCTTGTGAAGACAGAGGTAGAAACTGGAGTAATGCCTCTACAGATCAAGTAACATTAAGTATTGTTAGCTGTCACCAGAAGCCAGGAAGCTTGGAATAGATTCTCCTTCAGTGACTCCAGAAGGAACCAACTCTGCTAACACCTTCATTTCAGACTTTTAGCATGCAGAACTGTGAGAGAATACATTTCTGTTGCTATAAACCACCCAGTTTGTGGTACCCTGCAGGAAACTAATACAATGAGTAAATATTAAAATAAAATATAAATATATTTTTTGTTTCTAACTCCTTTATTCCTTATATCTGATTTTAAAAAACAATTGTATAAGGCAATAATTAACCCTGGATGGTGTGGCTCAGTAAACTGAGTGCCAAAGGGTTGCTGGTTCAATTCCCAGTCAGGGCATATGCCTGGGTTGCTGGCTAGAACCCCAGTAGGGGGCACATGAAAGACAACCACAGGTTGATGTTTCTCTCCCTCTCTCTCTCTTTCTCCCTCACTTCCTCCCTCTAAAAATAAATAAATAAAACCTTTAAAAACACAAAACAATAGTTATTAACCTATGTTGATGGGTACACAATGTATAAAGATGAAATTTATGACAACATAAATGGAAGAAGCAAAGTTTTATGTTCTATTAAAACCAAGGTAGTATTATTTAGAACTAGACTATAAGAAATTAAGATGTTATTTATAAACCCAAGAGAAACCAGTAGAAAAATACCCAAGAATACATAGTAAAATAAGCAACAAAAGAATTAAAATAGTTTACTAGAAAATGTCTAACTTAAAAGAAGGTAGTAATGGAGAACCAAGAAACAAAAATATATAATGTAGAAATCAGTTTTTGAAGTATATAATACAGTATTAGACACATTCACTATGTTGTGCATTAGATCTCCAGAACGTATCTTCTAGTTGCAAATTGTGCCCAACAGCAAAATGACAGAAGAAAATCCTGATAAATAATTACATTAAATGTAATAGATTAAACTCTTCAGTTAAAAGGCAGAGACAGCAGAATGGATTTAAAAACATAGTCTACTTGAGACTTCCAGCCAAGATGAGGCGTATGTAGATACACTTTGCCTCTTCACACAACCAAAGGACAACAACAAATTTAAAAACAAAAAATAACCAGAACTGCCTGCAAATCAAACTGTATAGAAGTCTGACAACCAAGGAGTTAAAGAGAAAACATTCATCCAGAGAGGTAGGAGGGGTGGAGATGGGCAGCGAGAGTGGAGAGGACTTGGGGCAAGGTGGTGGCTGGAGAATGAGGACAGGCAAGGCAGTGGCTGACAGAGCAGATGGTCTCACATTTGCATGCAGATAAACCAGGAGGAACAGCTGGGGAGCAAGACAGACCACACAATTCAGAGTTCCAGCCCTTCTAGTATAAGAAAACAAAGCCTCAAAACCTCTGACTGAAAAAAAACCATGGGGGTTGAGTTGGCAGGAGAAACTCTCTGCCTCACAGGAGAGTTCATTGGAGTGACCACAGGGTCCTAGAATGTTTCTGGGTACCCAAACCCACCCACCCAGGAAACAGCACCAGAAGGACCCAATTTGCTTGTGGGTAGTGGAGGAAGTGACTGAAAGCCTGCCAAGAGCCAAGCAAGTGGCATTGTTCCCTCTCAGACCCCTGCCCCACATACAGTGCCACAACGCAGCCATGTGTGTTGCACCATCCTGTTGAAAACCTAAGGCTCTACCCTTTACAATGTATAGGTGCAACCAGATAAAAAATTGGCCCAAATGAAAAAACAGATCAAAGCTCCAGGAAAAATACAACTAAGTGATGAAGAGATAGCCAACCTATCAGATGCAGAGTTCAAAACACTGGTAATCAGGATGCTCATAGAAATAGTCAAGTATAGTCACAAGATAGAGGAAAAAGTGAAGGCTACGAAAAGTGAAATAAAGGAAAATGTACAGGGAACCAACAGTGAAGGTAAGGAAACTGGGACTCAAATCAATGGTTTGGAGCAGAAGAAGAAATAAATATTCAACTAGAGCAGCATGAAGAAACAAGAATTCAGAAAAATGAGGAAAGGCTCAGGAACCTCTGGAACAACTTTAAAAGTTCCAACATCCTAATCATAGGGGTGCCAGAAGGAGAAGAGGAAGAGCAAGAAATTGAAAACTTATTTGAAAAAATAATGAAGGAGAACTTCCCCAATCTGGCAAAGGAAATAGAGTTCCAAGAAGTCCAGGAAGCTCAGAGAGTCCCCAAGAAGTTGGACCCAATGAAGCACACACCAGGGCCCATCATAATTACATTACCCAAAATTAAAGATAAGAAGAGAATCTTAAAAGCAGTAAGAGGAAAGGAGAGAGTTACCTACAAAGGAGTTCCCATGAGACCATTAGCTGATTTCTCAAAAGAAACCTTTCAGGCAAGAAGGGGCTGGAAAGAAGTATTCCAAGTCATGAAAGGCAAGGACCTACATCCAAGATTACTCTATCCAGCAAAAATTTCATTTAGAATGGAAGGGCAGATAAAGTGTTTCCCAGATAAGGTCAAGTTAAAGGAGTTCATCATCACCAAGCCCTTATTATATGAAATGTTAAAGGGCCTTATCTAAGGAAAAGAAAAATATAAAAAATATAAACAGTAAAATGACAACAAACTCACAACTATCAACAACTGAACCTAAAAAAAAATACCACTAAGCAAAAAACTAGAACAGGAACAGAATCACAGAAATAGAGATCACATGGAGTGCTATCAGCAGGGAGGGCAAGGGGAGAGAATGGGGAAAAGTGAAGAGAATTAAAGGCATAAATAGTAGATACAAAATAGACAGGGGGAGGTAAAGAATAGTACAGTAAATGGAGAAGCCCAAGAACTTATATGTGTGGCTCATGGACATGGACTAAGGTGGGGGAATGTTGGTAGGAAGGGAGTACAAGGGGAGGGGAATAAAGAGGGGGGGGAATGGGACAACTGTAATACATAATCAATGAAGTATATTTAAAAAAGAACATTATACAGGACAGACCATGCATGTAGTAGGTCACAAAACAAGTCTCAATAAATTTAAAAATATCAAAATCATATAAACTGTGTTCTCCAAGTGAAATAGAATGAAATTAGAAATCAATAACAGAAGGAAATTTATTTTTAATATATTTTATTGATTATGCTATTACAGTTGTTCCACTTTTTCCCCCTTTCCTGCCTCCACCAAGGACCCCCCATTCCCTCCGATAATCACCCCACTTAGTTAATGTCCATGGGTCATGCATATAAGTTCTTTGGCTTCTCCATTTCCTATACTGTTCTTAACATGCCCTTGTCTATTCTGTACCTACCAATTTGTACTTCTTAATCTCTACACCTTTTCCCCCATTCTCCCTCTTCCCCCACCCATCTGATAACCCTCCAAATTATCTCCATCTCTGTGATTCTGTTTTTGTTTGGCTTGTTTGCTTAATTTGTTTTTTTGACTCAGTTGTTGATAGTTGTGAGTTTATTGCCATTTTAATGTTCATAGTTTTGACCTCTTTTTTCTTAACTAAGTCCCTTTAACATTTCATATAGTAATGGCTTGGTGATGGTAAACTCCTTTAGATTTACCTTGGCTGGGAAGCACTTTATCTTCCTTCCAATTATAAATGATAGCTTTGCTGAATAGAGTAATCTACGTTGTAGGTCCTTGCTTTTCCTCACTCTGAATACTTCTTGCCAGTTCTTTCTAGCCTGAAAAGTTTCTTTTGAGAAATCAGCTGACCATCTTATGGGAACTCCTTTGTAGGTAACTCTCTCCTTTTCTCTTTGCTGCTTTTAGGATTCTTCTATCTTTAATCTTTGGCATTTTAATTATGATGGGTTTTGGTGTGGTCTTCCTTGTGTACACCTTATTGCAGGGACTCTGTGCTTCTTGGGCTTGTATGTCTATATCCTTTACCAAATTAAGGAAGCTTTCTTTCATTTTTTTCAAATGTTTCCATTTTCGGTCTTTCTATTCTCCTTCTGGCACCCCTATGATTCAGATGTTGGTACATTTGATGTTGTCCTGAGGCTCCTTCACCTATCCTTGTTTTTTTTTTTAATTCTTTTTTCTTTTTGCTGTTCTTATTGAATGCTATTTCTTCCTTATGTTCCAAATCATTGATTTGATTCTTGACTTCATCCAGTCCACTGTTGATTCCTTGTAAATGTTTCTTTATTTCACTTCGTGTAACCTTCATTTCTGCCTTTTTTATGTAGTTGAAAGACTCAATGAGTTCCTTGAGCATCCTAATAACCAGTGTTTTGAACTCTGCATCTGATAGATTGCTTATCTCCATTTTGTTTTGTTCTTTTCCTGGAGTTTTGTTCAGTTCTTTCATTGGGGCTATATTTCTTTGTCTCCTCATTTTGACAGCTTTCCTGTGTTTGTTTCTATGTATTAGGTAGAGCTGCTTTGACTCCCTGTCTTGGTAGCATGGTCTATTATAGAAAAGTGCACTGGTAAGTTGGGTGGGGCAGAGCCTTAGGTAATCAACAGGGTGGGATAACCCATGGTAACCAGGTTAATGGAGTCTCAGATATGGTGTTGCTGCTCTGTGGCTGTGTGTGTGGGAAGGCTCAGGAAAGGGACAATGCTGGTGCCTGGCCTCTGGAGTTTTGTCCTGAAGGAAGCTATACCCCACCACTCACCTTGATGCCAGACACTTAAGTTTCTCCCTATAGGCCACTAGTACCTTTCAACTGCTGCCCCAGTGATGGAGCCCAGAGTGAATGAGTCTGCAC